AACTTCGAATCAGCTGTATTCCAAGAATGCTGCAAGTTGTTTGGCATAGGAAAGACCAGGACAACGCCACTTCACACACAGTCTGATGGGATGGTAGAAAAGTACAACTGGACACTGGAACAGGAATTGGCAAAGTTTTGTAATAGCCACCAAGATGCCTGGGATGTCTTACTCCCTCCACTGTTGATGGCCTATAGAACAGCAGAGTATGAAGCCACTGTATACACTCCAGCAAAGCTGATGGTTGGTCGGAAATTTCGGTTGCCAGTGGATCTGATAACAGGACGCCCACCTTACGAAGAGTTGCCTGAAAATGTGCCAGAGTTCGTGAAATTGTTATATAAAAGGATGGATAATATTCATGATCAAGTGCGTTCGAACTTAAAAACATCTGCTGATTCCATGAAGCTATGTTATGATAAAAAATCTATTGAAGTCAGCATTGTACCAGGAGACAAGGTGTTTGTATGATCCCAGGAAGACCAAAGTGAAGTCTCCTAAGTTGTCTTCTCCATGGGAAGGCCCATATGTCATAGTGGATCGTCTCTCAGACGTGACTTTCTGAATAAAATGTGGTCGGCGAGATAAGCCAAAGGTGGTGCATGCAAACAGGCTTTGGCGTTATCACGGTCCAGGACATTTCAGTTGGAACGAAGTGAACAACAGAACAAATGACGCTGCTGAAGACGTGTCACCTGAAAAATCAACTGTCGAAGAAGAAACTGTACCTGGTTTTGAGAAGGAAAACAGTGAAGCCGTTAATGAAGTTACTACCACTGATGAAACTGTTACCGATAATAGGACATTTCCTGATGGAGTAGATGAACCCCATGTGAAGCAGAAGGCAATGAGAGGGAGATCAGCACGGAAGAAGATATGTCCTGTAAAATTAAGATACTGTTACGCCTCCGGTCGCCAACTGATTTTCCGTAAAAATTCTTTCCGAAGAAACTTTACCGATACAAGTCCCTTCTTGATTAAAACTAGTTTATTCATTCTCGATATAAACTTTTTGAAATACACAGAATTTCCACAAACACTTTAAACTTAACAACCTTTATAACACACGTTATAAATCACACTGATTCGCACACTTCAAACAAGAGTATGAGAAGGCCGAAGTTGAATAGTTGAAAAAGACATACTAAGCTCCAGATAAGACTATTCTATTTTTTTAATAGTTTGTTTGTTCTGAATTTCGCGCAAAGCTACACGAGGGCTATATGCGCTAGCAGTCCCTAATTTAGCAGTGTAAGACTAGAGGAAAGACCGCTAATTCATCACCACCCACCGCCAACTCTTGGGCTACACTTTTACCAACGAATAGAGGGATTGACCGTCACATTATTACGCCACACGGCTGAAAGGGCGAGCATGTTTGGTGTGACGAGGATTCGAACTCGAAACCCGCAGATTGCGAGTCGAGCGCCCTAACCACCTGGCCATGCCGGGCCCTTTTCTAATAAGGTGAATGACTTATGAACTGAGTTGCTATCTACAGTAATAGAGGCCAGCACCTTACAAGTTTAATAGGGAAATTGATAATTTGCTGAAAATAAAAGTTTGGTTATATTTTATTTTTTACTTTTTCTCAGGGTTGTGCCTACAGGGACAACCTTGAAGAACTAAGTGGTTCCTTGCTGTGCGTGATGTTATGTTTAAATTTTCATCTTGAAGAAAATAAAAACACCAGTAGATGTCACTTTATTTTCGTCAAAAAGCACTGAGGTTTTTTTTTATAAAGTATTATGGCAGAAGTAGTGTGCAGGGACCTGGTGGAAGAAGAAAATGAAGACCGAAAGCATTTTAAACGTATATTAAATGCATTTAGATGTTACAGGTAGGCAATAAAATTTATATGCACAATTGGAACTGTTATTCAGTTTCAAATTTTCAATCGCACTTCGTAGAGACCTCATATTCATGATTATGCCTTAATCTTAAACAGTTAAAACTCTTACTAACTTCAAAATCGTAGTTCAATTTTAAGTTGCTTAGAATACTAGGAATACAAATTATAATGGGTGGTGATTGATGTTTAGCCTCCGCATTCTTACTGTTTTGTGCATTGTCTTGTGTATTTAATTGCAGGGTTGCCAGTTTTTAGGAATATGTTTGACTTACTTTGACTATGAGTAAGGCTTTTGAAAAGTTAATAACTAATTTGCAAGTTTTCATGTGAAAAAGTGCTGTGAGCAGTGAATCACTGAATCATGAATGCCTTCTTAGGGGATTGGAGGCATTCTTCATCAGAAAGTTTTTATTCAATGAAGCAAAATGGTGCAATCTTTTGTATTTCCTGGATCATTGTGATGTTGAATTTGACCTTAATTCAGCTGGTCAACCAACGACAATGCATTATAGAAAGCTGTTTATTTAATAAAAGCACGGGATATTTTTTTTTCTAACTAATATGTGTGTGAGTATGAGCATTTTCCACTGCGGATATCTGGACATTTGCCACATACAACTTTTGCTTTTTCCCACCAACACTTCTTTACAGGTAGGCTAGGCTTATTTCTGTATAAAAATTTTATATGATTTAATAACATTTATTTATAGATGGAAAACATGTGTCAACGAGATAACAAAAAGTGTTAGCATGCAGTATAGATATGTAGTTTAAGATTTATGAATTTCATAAAGTCTGCCATAAAGTTCCACAGAGCATGAAGCATGTTTCATCCAATGGGCTAAATAAATTTATTCTTTCCCATGCTAACATTTTACCACATTTATTCCATTTGTATGGATTGCATATTTCTGCAAGATACAAATTGTTTAACCTGGTGACTAAAGCTCACAGTTACTGTTACTATATCATGTAATCAAATGTTTAAGAGTCACGGAAGTGTTATTAAAATGTTATAATCAATTGAATTTTTATGTATTTTTTTTCTGTTTGTTAATCAGGGAAACTACATCCACATGGTATTGATTGTCCCCCAGTATCTTTACACACAAGCCTTGTCAGCACTGCAGTGAAGGTTTATAAACATTGAAAGGTGTAACACCAACAGAACTCGGAAAAGAAGATTGCCCTTCACTTAGCAGCAGAACCCCCTTATTCAACACTAGTGGTTTAGTGGGTGATTCACTGCAAATAACAAATCTAGTATAACCTCATATATCAGTCAAAATATATGTAACATTTCTGTGGAGGTTTATTTTTAATGATTATGATGAAATTAGCACCCAAACATTTACATCAAATAACACTAACAGTTTGGCTGCTAACAAAATGACATTCATGTAATTTTATGGAAATTTTGAATGATAGAGAGAGAGAGATATCAACCTTTTTGGCAGCATAGCCAATGAAGAAAACACAACACCCACATGTAAAAAGTGTGAAAAACTCCAAATACAGTTGAGCTTTCTGAGGATGGAAAAAAAATTAAGCCAGTTAGAGAGAGTGCATGAGTTAGAAGTAATTAATTTGTTAACAGTATCTACTTGGAATAATGATAGTCAAAATTCTATACAGGTCTGAACTGGAATGTTTTCTTTTATGCTTGCATCTTTATGAACCAGTTTTCTCAAAGCAAGACAAAGGACAATATACCATTTGTTGATCAGTTATTACTAACATTACTGAAACTTTGGTTCAGTTTTGCTTTTGAAATCTAAGCATATCAAACAAACTGTGGAAAAACTATTTGTGAATATTTCTGAAGATGAAATGGTATCTTCCATGCAAAATTAGGACTTTTAGTTAAAGAGTGTGGTAGATAGAATGTTCATTAGACAATTTTAACAGAAATAAAAAGCAAGTTCTCCAGACTTATTTTAGTAATTGACTGCTTTGAAATATATGTTGATCATTCCAAACCACTTTTGCTTAAGCACAGACTTACTTCACAAGTCCCACTTTACTGTAAAAGTTTTTACTAGTTGTACTGTTTTAGGAGCAATTTTGTTTCTATCTAGAACATGGGGTGGATGTTTGTCAGATTCAGTTCTGGTTAGATGGAAGTATGTGTATAGACCCTAAATTGCATTTTTTACAAGACCAAATACTTCCTGATAAAGGACTCTCACTACACGAGGACTTTTCGTGTAATCATAATCTCTTAAAGAAATGGAAATAATTTCAAAATCATTAAGAAGTTAAGATTATTATTATAATAAGCATTAATAAAAAGTAAATACTTTCATAATTTGACTGTGTGCAAAAATTAATTTTTATTCTGCATAATACATGTACAAATATAGTTATCTTAAAATAATTTTACTGTGCCTTATAACAGGTATACACTGAGTGGTCACAAGTAAATAGACACCTAATTTTTCGTCATAT